CAAATTTCTTTAGAGCCTTTAAATTTGCATGCAGAAATAGTTAAAAATTTATTTGTAATTGATTTTATTCCTGAGATTTAACAAAATAGAAAATCGTAATTTTTCATGAACTAGTGAGATGATGATGATAGTTAACCTTTATTCCATGCTTTATATGCCAAATATTTAAGCCCATTTAGTCCCTACGAAAACCCTAGGAGGTACAGATGTTTATTATCTTGAGCTGGTTATTTATTATGCATCTCTTCCCAAATCTGCATTCAGTGACATCACATTGATAGCTTGAAATTGCCCATGATGGGAATATTTACACCATGGGAAATGGCAAGTGCTGTAAATCAAGCCTCCTGTCTCTGATCCACAAGAACTGGTTCACAAAGACACCATTAGATAGTAACTTGTAAAGTCTCCACTAATAAGTGGTAGAGCCAGGATTTGAACCAAGGTGGTTGGTTCTAGAGCTCATGCTCAAAACCAGTAGAATATAGTCAGACCTCTGTATCCATTGGTTCCACATTCATGGATTCAGCCAACTACAGATTAAAAATATTTGGGAAAAAAAAAATAACAATATAACAATAAAAAATAGCACAAAAAAGCAATGTATTGCAATAACTACATAGCATTTACATCATATTAGGTATTATAAGTAATGTAGAAATCATTTAAAGCATATGGACGGATATGCAAAAGTTATATGCAACTACCATGCCATTTTATGTAAGGAATTTGAGTATATGCAGATTTTGAAATCTGGGGGGATCCAGGAACCGATACCCCACAGATACATGGGACAACACTATACTCCTCTAAGCAAATAATACTAATGAGATGGTCCTCCAGACTTACTGGTCTTTTAACTTATTAGTTTTAACTGTCACTGAGTATATGGTATCATATTACAGATTTAATTTTGGTGGCATTATTCTCAAGTTTTTGAGACTCTATTGTGTTTAAAATACTATGATAAAATAAAGCCAGAGTTAATTTTCTTTGTGCTTACGAGGTACAAGTTTAGTACATAAAGTAAAACCATGAATATTTACATTGAAATATTGCCCAAATAAAACTTATCAATAAGAGTACTTGCTTTAAGAAAAATTTTGTAATATGTTTGATATGTAGAGTCTGTTTTTTTCTTTACTTTTTTCCCCAGAGCTATATTTTCTTTAGATAATCTGAATCTAAGTTAAATGTTTATGTTACAGTTGGTTTATTTATATTAATACAGCACGCTAATCATACAAAGTTAAACTTTCTATGCATTATATCTATAGCACAGTATATAAATTAACATTTATGATCATCCTACAGTACTGTAAAATTATCTAATGTGTATCACGTTCTCAGACTTTTTTAGTATGAAATTAAGCATTTTTTTTTTTAGTTTTCTGAAAATAAGTAATCTATTTGAAACATTTTTTCCCTGTGACTTTACATTTGAGTAATTAGAATCCCTCATTGTTAATAGCTTGGAGAGAACTTTTACTATTTAAAACTTTCTATGCGTCTTAGTAAATTACTCAACCATAGTCAATGAAGTTCATGGTACTTTTTAAACTATAGAATCTTCTTTTATTCAGCTGGCAGATTTAAGCTTAGAGTACAAAACAGTGGGGAAATCACATATTTCTTAGCCTAGGGATTTATGAAAAGAAGTGAAGACATGTTTACGCTTGCTTGATTTAATTGATATTAGTTACAGCTTAATTTGTATCAGGGGGCATTTAATGCAGCTTACAAAATATATACAAAAGAATAAGAAGATAGCTTAGGTTAAAGCTAGCAGAATAAGTGTATTCATGAGATTCCTCATATTTTCTAGAAATGAGCCACAAATTTGCCTCTGAGTTTTATGGCTGCCAGCCTAAAATAAAGCAGTACAAAATAAATGTTCATAGGAAGCCACAACCATTTCTTGTATAGTTTGATTATCCCTTATCCGAAATGCTTGGGGCCAGAAATGTTTTAGATTTTGAAATTCCTCAGATTTTAGTATATTTACATTATGCTTACCTGTTGAGTATCCCTAATCCAAATGTCTGGAATCTAAAGTGTTCGAATGAGCATTTTCTTTGAGTATCTTGTTAGTGCTCAAAAACTTTTGGTTGGAGCCTTTGAGATTTGGAATTTCTGGATTAGGGATTCTCAACCTGTACTGAAATCCAGCTTAGATTCTGTGGTCTATTTAGTTACTCTTCTATGCCTGTTATTTTTCTATGTACCTACCAACTGAAACAATCCAAGTTTTATCTGCTTTGCCCCTATTCTTTTGGGGAAGTCATGTAACCAAACGGATTGATATTTAACTCATGGTTGCAAATCTTCACCTAGTTTCTCAACACTACCCCACATCCCAGCTCTCTCCTTTGTCTTCTCACTCCCCTGCTGTTGTCTTGAAATAGTTAATTATTTTAAACTATCTTCACTTCTCACAATTTTGACTCCTTCACCTGCTTCCTTCTTTATTGTCAACAGATTACCTCTCTTGCTTAACAGAAAAATCAGAAGCCTTCAACTGAGAAACCCTGAATTTTCATATAAGAAATCTGTTAACTTCTTATGTTCCTGCTCCTGCTTAGCCTGCTTTCCAGTTAGCATTAAGCGATGCCTGTCTTCTGTGTGACGCATGACCTTCTGCCTGTGTTTGATTCTTTGATTTCATTTTAATAAGGAAACTTTAAAAAGTTTAAAAAGAAACATACTTTCTGTTTCCATTTTCTAAATCCTTTTAACACTTCGCTTGGCTAAGGAAGATGGGGAGGGCTTGTTGGGGGACAGTCCAAAATCATCAGGCCCTGGGATCAGAAGTGCAGCTGGGAAAGTCCCACTTAAAGATACAACCATTTCACCCTTGCTATCTGTGGCCCTGCCACTTCCTTCCCTCAAACTGCTCTTTTTAAAGCTGTCAGTAACCTTTTCTAAATGAGATGCACTTTCCAGTTCTCATCTAGCTTGACCTGTTAGCAGTCTAAGACTCTTGACAGTGTCTTCATTATTAAAACACTCTTCCCTTAGTTTCTTTGATACCAGTGTCTTAACTTTTTTTCCCACTTGCCTGGCTTATGCTTAACTTCTTCCTTTCACCCCTTATATGTGTTTTTGAAGATTCTAGCTTCAAAAAGTTTTCTAGTCCTACTCTGAAAACTTTTTTCTTTAACAGCAAATCCAATTACTCTGATGGTTGCTGAGATGTGCATTTGGGTAAAGATCCTCCCCCCACCCTCATCCTACTCCCCAGCACTGTCTTTAGCTCAGTCCTCTTTCTATAGCTTCAGACCCATTCCCTGACATCTGTGAACTTTTTTGGATATCTAACAGGCACCTCGAATTCAGCATGTCTAAAACAGAACGTAGCATTTAATTCACAACGCACTCCCCCCCAATATTTTCTTCATCTCTTTAAATGGTGTTTCCATTTATTGATATGTAGCAAACGTAGGAGTTTTCAGTAAATATATCTTGTTTCTTTTAAGAGAATTAACAGAAAGCAATTACAGAATTTAAAGACCCAGCTTTAAGATGCCTAACTTATTTACAGTTTTACTGAGTGATGGGTACTCATTTAATGGCACCCCCTAGCGCAAGTTCCAAGTTCCTCCCCTCTCACATTTACCATACCCCAAGTATGCTCTGCTTCTATTTTCTCCTCCCCAACCACCCTCAGCACTTGGATTTAAAATACTTTCCCCATAAAGCTTATGTTATAATTATGGGTAGATTTCATTGAAATTGTGTTATAGTTCAGTATCACTTTTGGTTACAGCAGCCTTTGTAAACTTGCTGGGACATTAAATAACACCTGCTGTATTTGCTCCAAGTCCTAAACAACTGATTTATAAATGAACTTTGGAATAAAACTCATTTAGAAAATGTACACTGCTTAGACATTCTGAGGAATTGTACATAGAATGTTAAAGTGGGCTAGGTGCTGTGGCTTACCCCTGTAATCCCAGCACTTTGGGAGGCCGAGGCGGGCAGATCACGAGGTCAGGCGTTCGAGACCAGCCTGGCCAACATGGTAAAACCCCGTCTCTACTGAGAATACAAAAATTAACTGGGCATGGGAAGCATGCATGTAATCCCAGCTACTCAGGAGGCTGAGACAGGAGAATTGCTTGAACCCATGAGGTGGAGGTTGCAGTGAGTTGAGATTGTGCCACTGCACTCCGGCCTGGGCGACAGAGTGAGACTCCATCTCAAAAAAAAAAAAAAAAAAAAAAAAAAAGAGGAAAAAGGAAAAATGTACAGAGGGACCATAGCTTCCTATTAGACAATGAGAAACTGAAGCTTCCCTAAATCACATCACTAGTGAGTAGCTAAGCTAAGACTAGAAACCTAACTTTCAATTTGATCGGTGTGATTATTTTTTCTAGTATCCCTTTGACTAACATTTTAAAATAATCATTGTATTTTCCTCTGATTTTGTTTTTTCCTAAGTATAGGCAGTTTCTTGTTCACAATCTCTTGTTAATTTCTTTGGAAGTTTATTGGCATTTCATTTTTTTAAGTGGTCCATAATACTTTTAATTTTGTCTGCACCAGATAGTTCATCGTAAATGGTAGTGCTTCTCACTAAGTTGGCTTAGAAATACCTATGGACATTTATAGTCATGCAAAGGTATAATACATTAATTATACCAACAAAGTTTAGCCAGCTGTTACCTCTGTTATAGACATTTTTTATTCCTTGAAGAAAGCTTTTTGGTACAAAGAGACAGGTTTGGCTTGTATCAAGTGAACCAAAAGGAATGTGTGTTTTCCTAATACCGTGTCATGGTTATCTGTAGACTTCGGTCCTCCACTCCCAGGAGAAGCAGCAAAGGAAAGAATAAACAATAACTGTATGTAAATTATTTAAAAATGTATAGCCTTTTACCTACCATCTTTGAGAAGCACCCAGTTTGAAGCATTTCTAAGCCAAATATTTATTGGATTTATTTATCTCTTTTTTTCTGTATAAAATATTGATAACTGTAATGTTTTATTTTTATTCACAGATTATTATAAGTATAGGCCTCATGTTTTATGTAGTTCATCGAGCTCAAGTGGAATTGAATGCAGCTATTGTAGCTTGTGAAATGGAACTGAAGTCCTCTCTGGTTAAAGGCAATCAACCAAATACCAGTGGCTCTTCATTCTACAACAAGAGGACCCTAACATTTTCTGGAGGTGGAATCAATGTTGTATGATTCTAATGAGATATGTGATTGTCAAGAGCCTAGTGTGCTGTCTAAGGTCTAGCAGTCACTTCATTAGTGGGCAGAGACAAGTACTAATTGTATTACGGCACAAACAAAACTGACTCGTTTTTAAATTGCACAATTTTTTTTTTTAAAGCAAGAATCATTTTCTGGATATGTAAGTGTAAATGTAGATGCAAATTTGGCTGCACCTCTTTATCATGCCTGTATTGGCCTATAGGTCTGCACTTTAGTGTTTTTTAATTGTTTTATTTCTGGGTATTTACGAACAGAGAAATAACCCAAATATTATTTCTGATTAGTGTCTTTATTTATACAGCCCATGAGTTGTTTGTATGCATATTTCCTACTTGTAAAGATGAGTAAAAGTATGCAGTTTTAAATGTGTAATATTATTGGATGTTCTTTGCTTTGGTAGTCTTTCCAGAAAGGATAAACAGATAAACAGTCTTTCCAGAAAGGATAAAATCCTTTCCAGAAAGGATTGTTTTGTTTTGTTTTATTGTTTAAGTGGGACCACTTACCTTCCCATTTCCTTACTAGTTAGAGAACAGACATTAATTTTCAGTGGAATGTATTTTTGCAGGCATCATGTTGTTACAGGGCCATTTACACCTATTCACAAAGCTTAAATCCTACCTTGTGGGACTGAAGTGCTCTTAAAATAACTGTTTATTTTCACTGTGTAATATGCAAAGCAAAAGGGAAATTATTTAGTGGGTAGTGACTCAAAATTAGAACTCTTGTTCTAATTCATTTACATTGGCTTTACCCTCCTTAGATTTTTCATCAAAGGGCTGTCCCATTGCAATCTTACTAAAACATTTTGTTAAAATAAACTTTTTTCCTTTTTATATTAATAATTAGGCTTTTAAATAAAAATATTATTCGTTTAAAATGGTGGGCTTACCATCATTGAAGATGTCACTCAGGTGGCCTTGTTTGATCAAAACGCCTTTTTTAAAAACCAAGCTTTAAAAACATGTTTATAATTTCATGAAGTACATATATATTGTTCCCATAGTCTTCAGCTTTAAAACTATAAATATGATATTAAGTTAATGCCCAAATTTGTGTTATTTGCCCTACTTTAAGTAAGTTTATTTTCTTTGTTTTTTTGGTACTTGTTTTTCTCTGATAAGACTCAGGAATTCTGAAATGTGAAATTGTCTCAATTCTTTCTCTTGTAGCATGAATCAAATGTATTTATTAATAGCACTTATGACTATAGAATATAATTTGGCATATGATTCATAGTACATATGTATTATTCATTTATTTTATTTTTAAAATAGTTTAATTATAAACTTAATGAGTTTTTTTTAACAAATGAGATTATAGATATTAATGCAAATTTTCTGGTAGGTATCTCTTTTATTGCTATGACGATTCCAACTTATCAGAGACCTCCCATTTGCCTTTTCATCATGGTAAAAGCTTTGCCCTCATCTACTAAAGTACAAAGGAATTCTTTGGAAGCAGATTATTTTAGTCTTATGCTAGAAATGAATTTGTTCATTTTAATGGGTGATCTTTTTTCTCTATCAGGTGTAATTGCTTTCCTTTCCTTTATAATGTGTAAGTTTTCTCACCTTTGACTAACAGTAAAGTTCATTTATATGTCCATACCAAGAAGACTTCAGTGCAAATACTTTGAGAGCACCTGGGTCTACAGGACATAATTGGCCTCCAAATCCTCCTTTCTTGTTAATAGTAGGAAAATAGATATAGTATTGTAATACCCTTATTCTTTTTTGAGTCCTAATTACTCATTTCTTTTTCTTTTTTCTTTCTTTTGAATCCTAGTTGCTGGTTTTTAATGATTTTAGTTTAACAATCCCAACCAACAATACATTTGATTTATTTTTTTCTGTCTAACCTGACAGTCTTTTTCGTGTGCTTCTGGTTTGTTGGTTAGTTTTTGTGAAAAGAATCATTATTTAAGATCACTATTTTCATACTTGTTTTACACTTCACGTATTTGGAAGTGCATTTATTTACTTAGCATTTGTGACTTGAATAATTTCACCAAATGAATACTTTTTGATAGTTTGTAATGAGTTCTAATTGTTACACTTTGCTTGGTACTTATAATAGATATGTAAAGGTAAAAGAAATAATTTTTCTGTATTCTGCCAATCTTAATTTTATATAATAAATCATCCATTTTTTTCTTAAAATAGTATGGATTGACTGTTTCTAAAATACCAATCTATGGCTGTGGTTTTTCTTTTCTTCAGCATTTCCAGCATCCAAGTAAACAGTAGTCCCTTACAGTCCTGCTACTTGATGGGTGAATTTGGTTGCTGGGTTTTTAGGTTGCATTCACAATAAATCGTGCAAAGCATTGCCATGCCTTATTTACTCCATTTTTAATCCTGTATCCCGGATTTATGGCAGCAACACACATCTATAGGGTACTTTTATGTTGTCCAAATATTGCTGTCAGTCATATATACTTATAAAATGTCTCCAGTCATGTATATTTATAGAAATGTCAAATTTCTCAGACTGTTAAAGTGCAGTATAAAGTTGCTTAATGCACACTTAAAAATGGTATATAATTTCTGAATCTTATGAAAGATGTGTTCTTTTTTAATTCTTTGGGCGTTTTCTTAAGTTTTACATAGTTTTTGGTTTACTGTTAATGATTTTGTTTACTCTTTGCCAAATTTTGTCATGTAGGTTATTTTACAATAGCACCTTTTAAAAGTGTATATACTAATTTACTAAGTATATTCATGTCCATTTTTATTTGATCATCTGATTTGTGAAATAACTTGAAATTTGTACTGTTTGGTTTGTGAAAATAATATTACCAACTCTCTGTCATTAGAATGTGTATTTTATGTTCAGAAGTGACTGTGGGTTTATTCAGAGCCAGCCATTCTCTCCCTTGATGCACTTTGTAACCAGTTACAAATCCTTTTAGGTGGCTTTTGCCTGATAGGGTCAGGTGTATTACTATAAAACATTTTTCTTCTTATGAAGCTATTAAGTTCATTAGTTACTCTTATTTCCCCTTGTTATAATTAAGTGGTGCAGGTACAAGCATATCCCCACTGTGTGTGAATGTGCACTGCTGATTTGGACTGTTCTTGAGAAAGGTGCTGTGACTTACATATGTCAATATTTATTGTCTCTAGAGATATCTTTAGAATGCTTGAGAAAGTCACTAGGTGTGTGCCAGGTTGGTGCAGGTAAACCCATGCTGTTCATAGCCAAGCAGCATTTGCAGAGAAAAGGAGAGTTTTACATAGACCCCAGGAAAAACAGTACTAACCTAGTTGATGGCCTTGGTGGTGGAATTTTGTTTCAGCCAGAGGCTACTCACTATATTGGAATGATGTTCAGTATAACACCATCTGATTTTTAGGTTGGCCAATTTCTGTTGTAATCAAGTATTTAGTATATAATTTTTAAAGTCATTGCTTTAATCTGAAAAGCCATTAGAAGGGAGAGGAATCACTGTTCTACAGGATATTTAAAACTCAGGAGTTCAAATAACCTCACATATTGAACATAAACTGTTAACTTACTCCACAACTTAATTCTAACCTGATACTTATGAATTGCAAAGTGATTGCTGCAAACTGTTTTCTAAGGTGGCTGAAGATTTAAAATAGATCATTCTAAAGGGAAATCAGTAAAATGTCTTGATAATTGGTATCCAAATCACTTGTGTGCCTGAGAAAATAAAAGGTAATATTTTACTTCTCGCTTTTCTTTCTTTGTCTTTATATTTTAATGGATGTAGAGACATGACCCATGAGAAGGAGTGTTTCAGGGGATAGGGAGGATGTGCTCCTAAAAATGAGAATGTTGATAATTGACGGTTATGATTCTGGAAGAAGCTCTAAGGAGAAATGATTCTGACATCTTAAATTGGCACTCACTCCAGTTTTTTTCTACATCTTTAAGTCATGAAATGCCACCTGCCAAACAATTGTTATTCGTTCATCCCAGCTAGTAGCAATATTTACGATGCTTTTCATAATGTCAAAGGACTTTACCAATCTAATTTTATGTTGATCTCTACCCTATTTCCATGACTGTTCCCTAAAAGCCGCATTCCATTTGCCATAACATTTTCATCTTAGCACCAAGAACAATATTTGTCCTTGTCTATTTGTAGAAGCTTCAATACCGTTGTATACCTTTTGTTAGCCATTTTGGACCAAAATTATTTGCTAGTTTATAAAATGGGCCACAAGGTGTAGCTACATGTTGCAGACTACTTTCACCCAGGTGATGTAGAGGAGCATTCGTCAGATAAGCATTTTGACATTGTGGTGTGCTTGTTATCCAAGGTTGTACGATACTGTCTGCCATGCTTGCTCTTCTTGGTTGACAGTGCCTATTAGCATCAGGAGTGTGGGGAAAGTATATATTAGTGGTATACTGTACTATAAGTTAAATATTTAACATTTATGGGGTAGCATTATATGCATGGTGATATTAAACAAGACATATGTATATGGTAAATCTACATTTAAGCACTCTGCCAAGTTTCAACCAAGTTGATTATCCAAATTACTAACTAATATCACTGTCTTAAATGTGACTTAGTGTTCTATAAGGTCACCTGCTAGATGAAAGACTCGAAAATCTTAAAATATTCAGTGAAGATCAGTAAGAGAGTGAATAGAGTATGTATTGAACAAAAAAATAATAATTCCAAAATTACAAAAATTTTAGAGTGCAATTTGAGTGGTATGCTTCAATGTAAGTACATTTATCCTAGGAGACATAAAATTCATGACCACCACAAAGTAGGAGAAGCTAAGAGGGAACTCTTTGGTTCTGTCTTTGTTGATTGTCAAGCCATTTCCATTTTCAGTAAAGTGATTTTGGCCTGTTTCATGCTCTGGCTCTTATAGTCCTGTCCTAAGTTGACCTTGGCAGGCAAGGCAGGAACTCAGTTATTTTCCACTAGTTTTTTTTTTTTTTTTTTTTTCCAGTTAATTACTCTGATTTTAAGTAAATTAGCTGGTTTTGTATCATCACATTTCTACTTTATACAATAGAACAGCTTCGTTTGAATGAGCATTTCAAGTAGTTTTCGTAGCAGAGCATTAAATTATTAGATGGATTTGGAATAGGTTCTGGGAACATAGAACCTGGGTTTTTCCTTCCCTCCACTTGGTGCTGAGTGCATATAAGGCCTTGCTCTTTGGTGGGGGTCTTGGCAGAGAAAACCAGGACAGGATTTTCTCATACATGGGCTGGCAAGTGCCAGGGGAAAAGACTGGAGAGCAGATCTTGAAGATCTCTTTGACTTTCAAATTTGAACTTCTGAAAAGAAGTTTGATATTGTCCGCACCAAAATATGTCACTTCTCCCTTCCTGACCCCCAACAAATGGCTGAGAAGGAGGGAGTGTTCCCTGCTGCCTGAGAAGAGAATTCAGGAAGACCAGAGACAGAGAAGCTTCCTCCAAGAAACTCAGTCTGCCTGCTTCATGTTCCACCACTGACATTTCTGATGTCTTATATTAATTGCAGCTTTGTTCTTAGTGTCAAACAACTGGAAACAAAGTGAACTTTGTTTTCAGCCCCTCTCTTATGAATACATTGTGATAGATCCACACAAGGAAGATTGAGTAGCCATCAGAAAGGATGAACTAGATGTATTCCAGTGAGTTAGAGACGTTTCCAGGAAGTATTGTTTTGTGAAAGAAGATGCAGAAAGCTGTAAAATATTGCATTTTGAAGAAAATGCCCTTTCTTCCTTGGTATGTGTGGTTTGTATGCATGTGAATATCTGCATTTCCTCATATAGTATTAAATTAGTATGGATAAAAATATGGAAGGAAAACTAGTTTAAGATGGATTTCTCTGGTGGGGGTGGAAAACTGGGTTCAGGGATTTGATGGGGATAGAATGAAGAGGAGAGAGGGGGAAGATAATAAAGCCAAAAAGGAAGGGAAAAAATCAATTATTTTTAAGAGCAAAATGGGCCTGTATTTCTTTCACCGGCATGTTAGAAGTCATTCTCTTCTTAAAACATCCAAGCTGATAGTTGTTCTGCTCAAGTACTTGAGGTAATGTAGTAGAGAATTGAAGAGTGTCCTTTCTTAAGGCCAGCTACTAGTATTCAAACACCAGGGCCACTGTTTCTTGGATATATGATCTTGAGAAGTTAAGAAGTTACTTCTGTGTTTCAGTTGCCTCACCTGGATGATGGTAGCCTAGCTTAGCTCATGGAGGTGATTGTCAAAATTAAAGAGTTTAATACAGTTATGTGTTGAGAGTAACACTTGGTAGGTAGCAAGTACACAGTAAGCATTAGCTATTATTACCTGGCACCAACTTGTTCTTAGGTATTGAGAAGCTCTTTCAGTATCTGAGTATTTAGCAGATGACATATGGGCTAAAGTAGGACAGAGTATTAAAAGTTACCTGGCTCCTGTCTTTACAGAGCACACAATGAAGGTAGAGAGACAACAAATATAACAAAAATAACAACAATACAATACTTACAGGGTAAAATATCAATGTAAAAATTACTATAGCACAAACTGAGTGGTGAAAGGAGTACTTAAATCATTGCATGTGGGGCTGGTTGGGGAAATTTTCTTAAAAAGATACGTTTTTTACCTTGTTTTTGGTTTTTGCAGGTAGGAGCTATAAAGTTCATGGTACTCAAGGGGGTCTCTGACCAAAAAAGGATTAAGAAGAATTGAGGCAAAAGGTAAAAGTCATGCAAATAGGAACTTTTTTCAGGGTGGTGTAAACAAATGAGTTTTCAGTCTAGTGAGTTTTTCCTCAGTTGACTACTACCTCCACCAGCAGCTTTAAAAAGTTGTTCAGCTAACACATAACTTAGACTCATTTGATTCATATCTTTTGAGTTATCCAAGTTATTTCCTTCATAAACAATTAAGGTTAAGTTTATTGAATTCTTGTGATTTTTTTATGTCAATTTTTCGGTTATCCGTATATTCCCATATATTATTAGTGAGAAAGTAAGGTTTAAATTTTCTGAATTTCCACGTAGTCATTTTTTGAGCAAATGGAGAAAATAGGCTAGATATCAAGCATTTGTTAGGCTTTGGGGTTACAGAAATAGAAATAACACTAGAGGGATTCTCAGTTAGTGGGGAAGGTAGAAAAGTGAAGACACAATTACATTAAAATGTGGCCAACCAGGTCTATGATGACGGTTTCTACTGTAAAAGCAGAAGAATAAGGTAGAAATAGGAGCTGTGGTGTAACTGCTCAGTGTATTTTTCTTGCCCACTGCCCAGGTAGAGCTGATTAAGACAGGAGAATTGTAATAAAGAGTTCAATACACATAGAGCTGGCTAAATGGGAGACTGGAGTTTTATTATTATGCAAATTAGCCTCCCTGAAAATTTGGACACTAGGGTTTTTAAAAGATAGTTTGGCAAGCAGGGGCTAGGAAGTAAGTGCTGCTGACGGGTTGGGGATGCTATCATAGGGGTATGGAAAATGGCCCTGTGCACGGAGTCTGCTTTTGGGTGGGGGTCAGAGAACTAGATAAGTCAAAAGTTACAGGCTCAGGTGGGGCCATCCTGTTGTCAGAAGAGCAAAAGCCTAAAAAGACATCTCAAAAGGCCGGTCTTCTGTTTATAATAGTGATGTTATTTACAGAAGTAACTGAGGAAGTTGTAAATCTTGTGACTTCCAGAATAATGGTGGATATTTGTTTATGCCTATGTTTTAGCAGAATTTAGGCCCCTCTCATTTTTTTTTTAACTTGGTGGACATTTATTAGTTTTATAAAGGTGGTTTAGTTTTGGGAAGGGCTATTATTATTTGAACTATAAATGTTTTTTTCCAAAGTTGGCTTGGCCATACCCAGGAATGACCAAGGGCAATTTGGAGGTTAGAGGCAAGTTGGAGTTGGTTAGATTGGATCTCTTTTACTGTTATGAAAGTTGACATAAGTTGTTATAATTTTTGCAAAGATAGTTTCAGTCCTCCCTTTTGGGTTGTGCCATACCTTATTCTTAAGGTGTGAGCTTTGGATATTCTATTAGTCTGTTCTAATGCTAATAAAGATATACCTAAGACTGGATAATTTATAAAGGAAAGAGGTTTAACTGACTCTCAGTTCCACATGACTTGGGAGGCCTCACAATCGTGGCGGAAGGCAAATGAGGAGCAAAGTCATGTCTTACATAGTGGCAGACGAGAGATCGTGTGCAGGAGAACTCCCTTTTATAAAACCATCAGATCGTGTGAGACTTATTTACTATCACGAGTACAGCACAGGAAAGACCCGCCCCCATGATTCAATTACCCCCATCCCACAGTACGTGGAAATTATGGGAGCTACAATTCAAGATGAGATTTGGGTGGAGACATAGGCAAACCATATAATTCCACCTCTGACCCCTCCCAAATCTCACGTCCTCACATTTCAAAACCAATCATGCCTTCCCAACAGTCCCTCAAAGTCTTAACTCATTACTTAAAAGCTCACAGTCCAAAATCTCATCTGAGACAAGTCCCTTCTGACTATAAGCCTGTAAAATCAAAAGCAAGTTAGTTACATCCTAAATACAATGGGGTATACAGATATAGGATAAATACATCTGTTCCAATTGGGAGAAATTGGCCAGAACAAAGGACAAGCCCCATACAAGTTCAAAATTCAGTGAGCCAGTCAAATCTTAAAGCTCCAAAATGATTTCCTTTGACTCCATGTCTCACATCCAGGTCATACTGATGCAAGAGGTGGGTTCC